TTTTCCCAAAAAGGACATGAGAGGAAAATCGGCCAGAAAGGGGTTTGGCATGGGTGGAAGCCACTTTGACGAGCTGTACATGGTTTAAAAATTTTTTTTTGCATTTTTGAATAAAGAAAAATCATTTTTCAAATTTCACCGACAACCAAATCATTCTTCGAAATTCTGTAACTCAACCTTTTCAGGGGAAGATGAGAGGAAATGGTCTCAAAGCGTTTAAATTCTAATGCGATCAATTTGCAAAGAGCAAATTTGGTTATTGAAGTGGACAAAATCAGCAATTTGTTGCTTTTTCGCTATTGTTCGGTGAGAGAATGCCATTGAGGTAATAAATGGGCAAGCTACGTCCCTTATTCTAAAAATTTTGACGAGAAACTCACGAGTCGAATAGCTCTTGTGCATATTGCCCATTCCACCACGACTCTGCTGCTGTTGACTCCAATGTGATTCGCGAACTTCCCCGTTTGGTATATACTTCAATTCGCCACGACGCAACGAATCGCTGAGCGATCCATAGCGAGCGTGTGCGATTCCTCTGCCGAATTGTTCATCCTCATATCGCTGATTCTGATCTCGAAGATCGCGCTCTCTCTTTGTCGTCGACTGACGATAATAGCTTTCTTGGCTTGATGGTAAATAGCCGTTGACAGCACCACCACCACCACGAGACAGTGAGCTGCTGCGCATTCCTAAAAAGGACAATCGAAATCTGTAAGTGAGGTTGGACCAAGCAAGGGTTGGTGTTTGTTGAATTCAGCAAAAATTTGGTATTCGTAAGAGAGTGGAGCGCTTGTTTGAGGTGAGTGCACGGCAACAAAGGATTCTGGAGTTAGAAAATGTCAGAAATTAAGTGACGATCTGTTAGAGACAAACATGGGTTGCGGACGGTGAGACAACAACGTACGATAGTGATCACGACGAGCCTCTTCGGCTGCTTCGTACGCTTCACGGACAACTTTGTCGATTTCGGCTTCGCTCATTGCTCGATTCGATTCTTGATAGACGATGCGTTGTGGAGGAACAGAAGCGATGCGACGTTCTAGAACGCTCCGAAGCTCTGATTAGCCTCTCGACACACATTTATGTCATCATAAAACTGGTGTTGAAAAATATTTGAAAGGAGGGAGTATGGCAACGCTGCGATTGGTCTGCATGTTGGTCGGGCCAATCATAGCATCGCTACCCCGCCCCTCCTCT